TATTTCGACATTAATTATGTCATCATCAGGAATGATGATGACATAATTAATGTCGAAATATTGAATCCCAACACGATGGCGTGTATTTCAATACTTGGAGTATGTATTATACTTTCTAGTATACACTTGTAACACTGGAATCTTGACTACAATTGGTCAATTGATCATGTTCTGCTTTAATTATTATTTTATTATGAAAATTCATTGAAAGTGGACTACAGTAACTTGATTACGTACATACTACCGTACTGTAGTTGTAATAATATGGAGAATTAAATGAGACATTATTTTTACTGTAAAAGTAGGTCGAGTCTGTCATATTAGTCAGGTATAACTATATAAAATGAAACATTGACTTTAACTAGTAGTAGGCCTATTTCTTCACAAGATTCTGCCAGCAGTCTATGCTGGCTTTATCAGGTGCAGTTTTTACTGGAGAATATTTTTCCTTTGCATTTACTTTCTACCCAGAATTGTACTAATTTAGGTTCAGTTTTTCTTACTCTTCAGATTTGCTATGAAGTGATGTAGTTCTGTTCAGATGTCTTCTTGGACTCCTATCACGATCTTTCTTGCCACTTCCATGTTCAGTTCTCCGACCTCTAAAAGAGACAGAAACCAACACATTTTTCCAAAGTTGTAATGACATGTACAGTAGTATAGTAAATTTTTAAATGAAAATAACATTTTTAGAACAAGAAATTTGACTGCACTTCTAAAAACAAGAACTGATTTCACTGCAAATTTGTAATTTATATAAAAATATAATAAACATGTACCATAAATGCTTGAATAAATGCCGCTGCACTTATACATTTTTTGGAGGCTTCAGCGCTTATAAAAAATATTGGTGTGACGCTTTCCATGCCCGTTCCCATGTTACCTATTTCCTGTAGTTTGGTAGGCCTATCATAGGTCCTACGTCATCATAAATAAACGTTTGTAAAGAAGAAATAATTTTATTTGTTTTATTTCAAACATCATCCAACAGCTAAAAAAGCCTTACAGTATGTCTTAAATACATAATATAAAAATTTTTGAAATCAGTAATAAATTACCAGTGTCTCTATTTTTTTAATTCTTGAATTTAAGTCTTATAATTCGGATCAGAATTTTCCAATGAAACATCCAACAACAAAATTCAGCATCATCTTTTTTTCTTTATAGCGTCCTGTTTAACATTCAGGTTCTTGTATTGGGGTCCATCGAACCGCCCTTTAGCCTTAGGCTCTGGTAGTTGTTCTGCTAGATAATGCCTTTCATTAGACATTATATATACGCATTTGGACCATCTTATTTTTTTTAAAGATAGTAATTGTACATGTGAACCCATGTATTTATATACAGTATAAGTAAAAAATAACAACATTTTTTTTTATTACCTTGGAAAGAAATGCATTATTTGTTACAGGGCGGTAATTAGGTTTCTTAAGAAGCGGACGAATAAGTCCAGCTTTAAGGACTTCAGGAAAAACACAGCTAGATAATGATAAATTAACAATAGTTCTTAAAATGGGCACCATTGCACAATTGATGGAGTGGAAAATTTTAGTTGGAATAGGATCAAGTTCACAACTTTTATCAGGCATTGACATAATGAGTTTACCAATAGTGTCATCATTTACAAATGGTACTGTAAATGACGTAAATTCATAAAATTGAAGAGTGTGAGAATTGTCACGCTGATCAACATGGATGTTAAAATTACCAGTTATTAATTAAATTGTCACTGAGTGAATAATGCTCAAGAAGGATTGAATAATATTAATAAATATAATTTATTATTAATACAACTAGGCCTAGGCCTAGCCTATATATATACAATTAATTATAATCTAGGCCTAGTAGGCCCTAGGCCCTTGTCCTACTAACATAGGTTATAAAAAAAAAATAACAAACCTTGAAGATATGTTGTCAACCCTTCGCTGGGTTGGTTGTCTAGGCCTAGGTCTACTATGCCTAGGCTTACTTGAATCTGATGGGTGGTAAAACTGATGGCCGTTTGGCGCCTGGTCTCTTTCATTCATTCTTCTTGGTCCTCCTAGCCTAGGCCTAGACGATATCGGCCTAGATTTTGAACTTCTTGGCATATCTTCACAATCAGTACCAATGTTACCTGTACTTGAACCAATCATTTCCACAACTAAGAGATAACAAATTGTTTTTACACTATAAAATAAGTCCGATAAATATAAAAGTTGTTTTCGAATCAGTACAGTGATCTTCGTTAAAAGATTACCGCCGTCAAATTTCGCGCGAAATCCAGCGATGACGATGAGGTCAAAGAGTAGGTTCAAAAGAAAGTGTACCTACCTAGGGCCTATTGCATATTCATCATCCATATTAATGAGCTTCTTAAGCAAGGGTAGGTAGGAGGAGGAGGAGAGCATTGACGTTTTTGCACCATGGAGATTGATAATTCCTGTATGTACAAATATCATTCTATTTATATATTGATGTATTACACAGAAGTGGGTTTCTACTATTTTGCAATGAAAATTTTGTTTTTATTTGCTACATTGTGAAGTATAATCTATTTTCTGCCGGGGGTGGGTAATTCAATTGTTACATATCCTCACCTATAATTAAAAAACTATTTGTTTTAAGGTTATATATTTATTACTTTGCTTTTGATTAATAATCATAATCAAGATCAAAGTTTTTAAATAAATATATATTTTTAAAATGTGGTACTGTACTTACTACACTTACTACTACTACAGTCTGTATTCTTGAATCTCGGTTGAAATGGACTGAGCAATAAAGTTTGCGCATGCGTGTAGCGATTTTAGAGAAGGTTGCCCTTTCCCTTGATTTCCCTTGTTATGTTTCAAATGAATGGCGGTAAACAATTGGAGGAGCATCTTGATGAGATAGTTTGTTCATTTTTTACTATCTTTCACTTGTTGTAAACGGAGACAAATTACGAATAGTTTATAATATTGGTTGAAGCAAGTATGTTTAGCCATAGCAATGCTTTTAACTACTGACTGTTTGCTCTGTCTTTTTGTCATGTGTATACAAAATATGTGGATTTCACCACCAGGCGCCGGGGATTGAGCAGTAAATTCCTGCTTGTCAGTGGCTAGAAAACGGGGTGTTTGACCTAGGGTAGGCCTAGCTAGGCTGACATCTGATAAACTACTAGTCCTAATTTCAGCCGGCTATAGCAACAGCTGATCTGTACATACATATAGTAGTAGTAGCCATAGTAGGCTAGACCTATAATATAGTATAAATATAATTATAATATAGGCCCTAGCCTAGCCTAGGCCTGCAGTCCAGCCTAGCCAGGCCTAGCCCTATGCTAGGCCTTCAGTTCTAGACTACTACTATTACTAGGCTAGTAGAGGCCTAGGTAGGGTATTCGCAGGTAGGTAGGGTTTGTGATTACAAAATAATGAATAAAATAATATTTTCAATCAGGCCTTAATAATATTTTGTACTATTTCACCCACAGGAACTTTGGTTTTACTTTTAAAATATCTTCCAGAAGTTATTATTATCTGTTGTTTTTGTGAACACTTTCAAGAAATGCTTGGATGCTGTTGGTGGGTCTAAAAGGCTTAACGCCTAAAACTTACACATTTAATAATCTACCTAGTGTACTATTAGGACCTGAGAAGGCTAGTGGTACCGTTATATTGAATTTATCATTTTAACAGGCTAGTCTATTTTAGGAATACTGTAGGATCTGGCTTGACTACTACAAATTAACTAACCTAGGCAAGGCCTAGCTTGGGTAGAACATTTACTAACTTATATGTTTGTTCTCTTTCAGATAGCACCATTTAAGCTGTTGGATTGCCATTCAAAAAAGCAATCTTAAATTAACTAAAGTTTGCCACAAGCAGATAGTTTCCTGAAAAAATGGAGGAAACACCAGTTCCTGTTAAGAAAAGGTTGTCTTTATCACTTGCAGCTAAAGATGTATGCTCCCCTTGCTTTAGCAAAAATGCTGTAGAATCGCCAATGAGTAGCCTTGCACACAGTCTGATTGGTCTGTCGTGGTACGTTGAAATTTATAAACCATTATATATGTAATAAAAATTGTACACTCTTAAAAACACAAACATTAAGAAAACCCATATTGATTTTCAATATTTATTTTTTTCCGTAGAACATCAGGGGATCAGACTTCTAATAAAAAAATGAAATACTGTATCAGTATGGGTCCTCTTTTTGTTAACAGTATAATAATGTCTCAGCTCAGAGGGTGCTTATGATGATATTGTATTATTTATATGTTAAGTGTAGACCAAGGTTTATTTCATGTATTTTTTTTCAAATAATCAAGCAAAACTGATTCAAACATTTGATTCACATAAAACTCAAGGAAGTATAAATAATAATGTGTTTCTTTCAAAGTGAAATTACTACAGTTAATAATAATAATAATAGTTGAATAATTTCTAAGTTGATCTTATTGTACATGCCAAATTAATGTGTTTTCCATTATTAACAATCTGTAAGTCAAATTTTATCTAAGTTGAACAATATTTCAATGGCATTTTGGATTTAACTTAGGCAAGTTCAACTGTATTATTAAATTATGGTTTTAATGATCCACATAAAGCAGAGTGTACATTACTCTTCAACTAATGGGTTAAAAGTATAATGTGGTTTTATTTAAATTATTTCTACCATTTACGGATAATAATGAACATAGTTGTAGATACTTTATAACAATTGTAAAATAGTGTGCAGTACTAATTGTGTTTTCTAATTTGTAACTTGAATCAATCTAATAAGAGAAATCTTGACTAGTATCATATTTATAACCTAAGTAATCAAAGGTTGATTTCATTTTTGCAGTGCTGGGGGAACACCAAGAAGACGTCTGTCTTTGTGTGAATCACCAGCATCATCTAGATCATCTTTAAGCTCTGACGCAGGTAATTAATAATTGTAGCAGTGTACCATAATACAGTAGTTCATTTACACTGTATGTGCAAGTCTTATTAGAATAGATAGACTTGCACACTGCTCCATTAATTAAGACATTAATGGCCAAATATTACCAGAAGATTATTAATCTTAATGCATAGCTCAGCAAAAGTTAGCTTGTGTGTGTGTGCGCTAAACTATGGATGTCCGTTTTTAACCTTTGGTACCCAGTTCAATTCCATCCGCTGTTCTCCTTTTGTGCACATCGTTTAGAGACGTTTAAGCTGTTTGGTCTCATGCAATATTGCCCATGAGCATGTTAAATGATGCACTACACTCTTCGGAAAAGATACAGATTTGTTTCCTAGTTTATTGCCACTACCAGATGGACCCCATTGAAAATATGTCTTTGGATTTCTGTGGGTTTCCCTTGGTGTTCACATCGATTAATGTATATCTAAGGCATGACATATTCTGAAAGCCTGCCACCCTCCAAAAATATTTATTAAAATATAAACACTTTTTAATTGTTGGTATCTTTACCACCATTGATAAATCATGGTTTCAGATTGATGGTGGTTCAGAATTGTACATCCAGCGCTAACTGTTGCTTATTTATGTGCAAACATTTTGCAGACCTATAAAACAAATCCTTTGTTATTTATCATTAAAGCTTTGTGTTGAGCTATTTTAGAATACAGTTCCTGCTTGAAACCCTCAGTAAAAACCTATTGCGTGTTGAAAGATAATATATTTTTATTCATCTTTATTTTGGACAATCTCTAAACTCCTTGATTCTTAATATTTTGCATACCAGGTGCATAGTTCTGCACCATTTTATCTTCTAGGTACACAGGAACTCTTTTTGCTTTCTGTATAACCCATTTTTCTTGAAGATACTTTTTCACTGTTAGTTTCCAGTGTAGATTTATTAAAAACTAGAGTTAGTTATGGACATAATTGTAATGGAGCTTAGCTCTGGTGGAAACAGTGTACAGTAGTAATAGCTTGTACTAATGGACTTATTCCTGATTTTATAATACAGTTAACTAGATTACCTGCTGCAGAAGCTTCATTAGATACAATGTTTTTATTTATCAGAAGAATATATGTATCAGGTTGACAGCTGTGTTACCACTACCCAGCTTTATTTTCTCAACTAAAGCAAATCCCTAAAACAATGGCAAGGATATCTGCTTTGTGTTAGTCTTAGTTTCTGCACTGTGCTTTGCGGTTCCTCATAGACAGATTTAGCCCTAATCAATAATGCCCTGCATTAGGCCTGCCATGCAGTAATTAATATTATTCAACTCAACAACATGGCTTTCCATTCAACATTACTACTTAATACATTTTCTGATCTTTGTACCTCCAGTCCTGTCTTGGGTGGTGTAGACCAATATCTTCTGATGACGTCTTGGAGTACTGTACATTTCTACCTTGCAGCTTAACCCAGTATTCTCCTGAAGCTGTTTTAGCCGTCAATTTTACTAGTAAAAATAACTGACCAACCAGTAAAAATTATGTGTTGGTAGAATAAAAAAATCACTTATTAGGCATAGGCTGGCCTTCTTTCAATAAACGAACATCATTCCAACCTAAGCTATGATTATGTATTGTTTTTTTAAGCCATTTAACGTCACTTAAAAGTGGCAATACCTTACATTGCACACTTTAGCTGGCTCTACATGGACAAATTTACCAGTAAAAATTTTCAATTTGGAGAACACTGTTAACCTATGTCTTATATTAAGCTTAGTTGTCACTTTGTGCCCCATCTCCCTTATTTCAGTACCTAATCAAGACAAAATTGGATATTTTTAATCTATTTTTTGTCTAATTTTTTGTAATTTACTCTTACATATTATCTCATTATTGAATCTTATAATAATTATCATAATCACCATTTGTTTGCTTCTGGAATGTATTTAAAATGTTCCTAATGATGCTAAATTCATGATATGTTTTCCAAACCTTCTGGTCACCCCATCTTTGGAGTTAATTACCAATTTCTGTTTTTTAGACAGTGCCAACATTTAGTCGAAAGGTCCATTGATTAATCTCAGATAAGATAGTTTAATACATACAAATGATGATGACATAATTAATGTCGAAATATTGAATTTTGATACTTAGCTTGGAACTATCATACATTACATACATAACATGAAAATATCAATAAACAAAAGATAATAATAACAAAACATTAAACAAAACTAAAATTGTCTACAAACGTAGTCCTGCCGCCTGTTGTAAAAAAAGACACCATTGTATTTCTTCTTGTTGAATGGCTGAGAGAAATAATAGGCAGTTAGAATAACAAGCCTGTTTGTAGTAACAACAAACATTTGTATTTTATTTTTTATTGTTGAAAATCAGAGGGATCCACAATGGGCAGTTAGAATGAAAAGCCTGTTGTGGTAACAACAAAACTTTGTATTTTTTGTTGTTGAAAATTTGAGGGATCAGCAAAAGGCGGTTAGAATACTGTTGTAGCAACAAGAGAACATTGCATTTTTTGTTGTTGAAAATCTAGAGGCAAACAATGGGCAGTTAGAATATGGAGGAAATATTTCCTCCATGGTTAGAATAAGAACTGATTATATTGAATGTTATCAGTGGTAGATCATGGATCCTGGAATTTTAAATAAATAAAGGAACCACCATGGATCGCTTAACTTACCTACAGCTTATGGCCCATGTATGTTCCACATACGAGCGAGCCATACGCTGGCATACGTCGAAAAGTTTTGTGCATGCACAAAATTTTTCAAAGTACTCGCCTTACTAGGACGTATACCAGCGTGCTCTTAACTTATACAAAACTTACCAATAACTTATTTGACATACGCCAGCGTATTCGCCATTTTTTTCATACGTCAACATACGCGGGTTAAATCGTCAAGGTGTGACAGGGCCATAATGAGATAGGTTTATATTTTTATTATACAGTATGACATGGAAATTTGTTTTCTCTTTAACAATATAAGACTATGCATATGAAATGCATAGTACAAACAAACATTTATTTAATGTATACCCTAGTGCTATAGTTATAAAAATTGCTATAGAAATCAAAACATTTTAGTCAACTTCACTCTAAACTAAGCTATAATGTAATATGTTTTAAAAATGATAACGATCTAGAAAAAGCTAAGCCAGGAAAAATTAAATTCTTATGATTCTGAGAGTTTCTCCAAAAGTTTTCCCTGTACTAAATACTGTACCCCCAAAACAGACTATGATAGGCTATAGAGCACCTGGGATACCATCTGCATAAATAAATACCCAGGCAAATCATTTATGTTTCAGCCATGCTAGGCGCTTACTAAGAACCATTTCAGAGCCACCCACCTACAGCCCACCTCCAGTAACCCCAGTGTTTTCAATGCCCAAGTTCTTTAGTGAAAATGACGACGGAGATGAAATTAAGGTATGTAAACTCTACTATTCAGGATGTGGAATGATTATAAATAATGCCGGTGGTGATAGTGATAATGGCGGTGGTGTTAGTGATAATGGCCGTAGTTATAGTGATAATGGCGGTGGTGATAATGACTGGCAATGGTGATAGTGATAATATCAGTGGTGATATTGATAATATCAGTGGTGATAGTGATAATATCAGTGGTGATAGTGATAATATCAGTGGTGATAGTGATAATATCAGTGGTGATAGTGATAATATCAGTGGTGATAGTGATAATATCAGTGGTGATAGTGATAATGTAGGTTCATATTTCAAAACAGTTGTGTCCTCTGCTGGTGATTCCATCATGTTTTTTCTTCGTAGGATGAAATATCTGTTGTGAATCAGAACACCACTAACAAGGATATGTCCACGTTTACCAAACCTTGTATTCCTGCTGGAAAGGTCCAGCCTTTCCGCTCCATCTCAGCACCTGCAAACCTTGTAAGTCAACGTGAGATGTATATACCTTTTTTATTTCATTCTCATCCAACATGAAATGATGTTCTGTAAAATATGTTCCTTTATAAGTTAAGTTATGGTTTGTGAAGTGATGGTTTATGGATTATGAGAAAATCTGTTTGCTGTTGTAGGCATTAAAACATAGAACTAGTATATTAAAATTTTTATATAACGATGATAATAATAATAATGTGCATGGTTTGTTAATTTTTAGGTGGTTTAAGTTGAGAGCAGCTTAGCTCAGTCGGCTAATCTGGTGGTAGCCACTGTGTGTGGAGATATCTAGGTCCCCAGTTCAATTCCCATCGCTGCCTCTCCTTGTGTTTCAGCTGTAGGGCTGAAACACAAGTTACAATAGTGCACCGTCTTTCGGATGAGACGTTTAAGGCGTTGGTCCCGTGTGTATATGTGGCTTATGTGCACGTTAAAGAACGAAGTACACTCTTTGGAAAAGAGTAGGGGGTTGTCTCCTGGTGTACTTCCCAATCACCACCAGAAGGACCCCACTGGAAATAAGTCTTCTAGACTTTCGTGGGCTATCCTTGGTGTTTACACTGAATAAATCCAATTCAAAATTAATCCTATCCAAAGTTGTATCTTTTTCAATTTTTCTTTGTTTTATATAGAAACCTTGTCTTTGTACATATATTCTTCAAATCTATATTGCCTTTTAAAATATTCTGTTTATTCCTTTACTGTTTTTTAAAAATTTCTTTATTGTTTTTCTTTATTGTTTTTTCTTTATTGTTTTTTTCTGTTTGTTTCTTTCTTTCTTTTTAATTCAATTTATTTTAAAATTTTAGATAATGGTTAATTGTATTCCATCCTGTTACTGGCAGGCTACCTGCTGTTTGTCTGTCTACATCTGATGAATAGTGATTATCAATCTAAAAAAAAAAATTATCACCCTACTTATTTAGTATGAAGCTAACATATTATGATAATAGAAATTTTACATTGAGATTTGTTATTTACTGGTTCTTGAGGCTTTGGACAGCTTTGCAAAAGTTTAAGAAGCTGGAAGAGTTACCCTTTTAAATATTGTTGAAATAAAAATAAATAAATGTAAATTACGGTATAAAATTTTAAAAAAAAAAAAAAACTTCCTCCGCACAGTTTAAAGATGATGATGGTGATGTAAAATTGAAGACATGTGCATTGACCAATAGTGAGGAGGAAGAGGATGATGGCTTCCTAGAATTCATGGATTCAGAAAATACTGAGGTATGATGTCATTTGCATAATTTTCTCAATTGTCATGAATTGTAGTGAATTTAAGTATATTTAGTAATGCTTGACTGCCATAAAACCTCAAAAAGGAGTCCAGTAAGCTTAATCTCAAGAAGAAGCTCATCTCGAAAAGAAGCCCTGGGCTTCTACAAGATAGTATGGGCTTCTTTTCGAGATAGTACTTACATTCAGACTGACGTTATCTTTGATGATTATGATAGTGTGTCAGTATCAGTATTATTTTATTGCACTAGCATAGTTGAAGTAAAAAAAATACAACAGTATCCATAGTTTGAATATGTTGTATACTGTAGTAGCAATTCCAAATATTTTTCAGCATTCGTTTCGAAAAGAAGCCCCCTCTTTAGTTTGCAAAAGTAATCTCAAAAAGAAGCCCATTTAAAGGTTCTAAAAAAAAAATAAGCCCAGGGCTACTATTCAAGGTTTTATGGTATATTGTTACTTGTTTACTAGACTATGGTATGGACATGTAAGTAAACAGTGGAAATTACTGTAGCTTCCCAACAGATTCTTTAATAAGTTGGGTTTGTATTTGTGGGGTTCTCGTAAAAATCCTGCCGGTGGGCATATTTGCTATTGCCATAGTTAATTATTCCGTACCTCAAAAAGATAATTATTACTACAGCAAATTAAAATGTTAACTATGATGCAACTCGCAGTGAATGATTCACAGTAGTCATTGCTTTTAAGATTTCACTAAACTTTTATCATTTATTTTATTTTTTAAGCCAAACAAAACTTCTGCTCCATCTGGTTTGGATAACCTTATAACAAAGCCCCTTATAAAGAAGTGTTCTCCAACTTCAAAAACAAAAGTCACTCCACCGGGCCCTCTGCAGCCCATTAGTATCAATAAGATGGACGGCAACACACCTGTTGCCTGTCTCTTATACACATCTTAGTATTGGCTTCTTTTCGAGATAGTACTTACATTCAGACTGACGTTATCTTTGATGATTATGATAGTGTGTCAGTATCAGTATTATTTTATTGCACTAGCATGGTTGAAGTAAAAAAATACAACAGTATCCATAGTTGGAATGTTGTATACTGTAGTAGCAATTCCAAATATTTTTCAGCATTCGTTTTGAAAAGAAGCCCCCTCTTTAGTTTGCAAAAGTAATCTCAAAAAGAAGCCCATTTAAGGGTTCTAAAAAAAAAATAAGCCCAGGGCTACTATTCAAGGTTTTATGGTATATTGTTACTTGTTTACTAGACTATGGTATGGACATGTAGGTAAACAGTGGAAATTACTGTAGCTTCCCAACAGATTCTTTAATAAGTTGGGTTTGTATTTGTGGGGTTCTCGTAAAAAATCTTGCCGGTGGGCATATTTGCTATTGCCATAGTTAATTATTCCGTACCTCAAAAAGATAATTATTACTACAGCATATTAAAATGTTAACTATGATGCAACTCGCAGTGAATGATTCACAGTAGTCATTGCTTTTAAGATTTCACTAAACTTTTATCATTTATTTTATTTTTTAAGCCAAACAAAACTTCTGCTCCATCTGGTTTGGATAACCTTATAACAAAGCCCCTTATAAAGAAGTGTTCTCCAACTTCAAAAACAAAAGTCACTCCACCGGGCCCTCTGCAGCCCATTAGTATCAATAAGATGGACGGCAACACACCTGTTGCTATACCTGCAGCTCGTGGAGTAAGACGAAGTATATTCAAAGTTCCCAGTCAACCAAGCATTCAATCATGTTCCTTTCTGAAGAGAAGCGAAAGACCGAGGGACCACCCAAGTCCCATCCAGCGTAAGAAGCCACGCAGTTCTTCCATTGACAGTGGTTGTTTCAAGACACAAACAACTGACGTGAGTGTTCACTTTGGCTCCCCTTTGTTCATGTTGTGCTTTTTAGCAGGTTTTTGTTTTTCATGATAATGTAAGTGTTGATTTTCAAACGTCAATGTTAATTTTTTATGAGCTTTAAAAAAATGTATACAGTATTGATGTTTAACTTGGGGTGTTTTTTTTTTTTGCCAATATTGGTGTTTGAAAACAGTATTTTGGGAGACCAACATTCACATTGATTTAGTTGCAACATCTTTGCACCTTTATCCCTGTTTTCCCCTTGTTTTGTGTTTTTCTTTCTTGTTTTGTATCTGTTTTTGCTATTGCGGAAAAAGAGAATGATTTTGTTTTCTACAACACAAAAATGTTTTTTTACTAAACATTATTTTTATTGTAAAATGTAGATTGTGATGAATTACATAGTTTTCCAAATTCACTTTGAATGAATTGCCCAAGTGTGCATACTTTCATGCTTACATCATATTTAAATTCACTTTGAATGAATTGCCCAAGTGTGCATACTTTCATGCTTACATCATATTTGATGTAAAGTCTATTTTTCTCTTCAGCCCATAATCCCTCGTAAACTAGAGCGGTCCCAATCAATGTTGTCACCTTACACTAGGCCAGCAGACCAACCAGACCTGTTAGGTGACCAGTCAAAGGTAAGGGGTTAAATATATTACCTACGAAACTAAGGGACAATAAAATAAATAATAATAATAAGATTAATAAAGCGCACATACCCACTGCAGTAGTGCTTAAGGCTCTACAGAAAGAAGGAACCAAAAATTGAAAGTGAAATGTAAAGGGGTAAAATGTATAACCTACTAGACGACCAGTCAAAGTGAAGGTAAAATGATTTAGTAAGTAAATGGTACTGCACTATTAAAATCACAAGGTTTTTTTTTTGTTATTGTAACATTATAGATAAATTTATGTAAATAATAGTTTAAAATCATCTGTTGGTATGGTTATTAGATTTTCATAATAATTACAAAATACACAAATATTGTAATAAATATTTGAGAAAAACGTCCCCATCTGATTCGAACACAAGACCTCTACCAACTGAGCTATGAGGTCAAGTGGTTTACACCTTTAGGTTTTCCAATTAGGATGCATCTTTTTCTCAAGGTATTATGTAATACGTAATGAATAATAGTAAATCACATGAAAGTATAGAGATACGCCTCCACTTGTGTTGGTTAAAGGCAATTATTGCAGTATCAATATTAGCTAATATAATATTCAAATAGGAACAATAATGATTTTGTTAATATGTTTAATCTACATGCTTATTAAAGCATTTTTCTTTTTCTCTTTTGATTCATATTTGTCCCAACAGCCATACTGCCTACCTCTTCTTCCTGGTAAACACCGAGACCTTAAGTGTATTTCTCCAAACACTTTAGGTCGATTAATAAACAACGAATTCGCTGACGAAATAGGAGAGTACCATATTGTGGACTGTCGGTACCCTTATGAGTACGAGGGTGGCCATATCAAGGTACGCCTAATTCACAATGTTATTTTAATCAAAATATTTTGCAGACAAAAAATGGAAACATATCTGTATCTCTTTTTAGTAGCTTGTAGCTAGTTATAGAAGCTTGCACTGTACCTCCTGGTAGCCTTTGCCCCAAGTACTGCCTTTAGCACTAGTAGTATTAGCTAATGGTAATTGCCTTCTCTTATGATTAAACTTATTTTTTGACTTGGTAATGTAATGTCATTGTAGTTGTTGCATGCGGTGAATGGAAAGGAAGAAAATAAAGAGTAAAATTAAGTTGATTTTGAAGATTATCTTTATTTCAATGTGAACATTTTTTAAATAATATTGTACAATGTGTGTATTTTACATAATTTAGATCCATTTAATAATTGAATGTTTCTTAAACATTTAATACCAATAAAAATTCATTGTCCTATTTATAGATATAGATATTATTGTAAATTGAGACTATAAAAACTTTTAGTTAAACCTGTCTCTTATACACATCTAGATGTGTATAAGAGACAGGAAGTACTCAGAACTAACCACATACTGACTGCAATTGATCAATGAAATTTTGTTATTACTTAATTAATATTTATGAGGTATAGTAATACCATAATTAATTGGCTAGTACCTACCTCTTTATTAATGGGGCATTACAACACTATTTTTGCATAAGTTGATATGCTACACAACCCTTTGAGTGAAGCTGCTGTAGGTGACAAAGATTTTAACCTTCCAATTCATTAATTTCATCTGCAGGGTTTGTGCGAGCCTCAGAGTTACAGAGAAATGCTTGACAAACATCATAGCGAAGACCTCAAGCATTTCAGGGCCAAATCAAAGTCATGGGCAGGAGAGCGAAGTCGATTAAAACACTCGCGCTCTCAAGAAAATTAACGCACAACTGATTCGCTTAAGAATTTTGCTAACAAATGTTTTCTGTGGTGCAGCTGACTGATGCCAGTTCTGGGCTTCTTTATTCAGTTTCAGCCATTAAAGTAACTATAATTTTTGCAAATGTTTATGTTTAGATTTACTTAGGTGTGTCTTTCTTGTGTTTTTAGGCATTTATGTTATTTAAAAAAAGGGCAATGAGATGCAAATTGATATTAATTTATGAGGCTATTGGAAACTTCTACCTCATGTCTGTTCCAGAACATCAAATGGCATCATTTTTTTATTATGTTAATTATTAGTATATATAATTGTGTAGTATTTTTATATCGTAATTATACAGTTGTGATAACATAATGTGCAACAAATGTGATGCATGTCACTATAATCAAGTTTGCATTTGCAGAATTCAGGGAAAATGACTGCCCTAGGACAATAAGTCCTATGAGGGAAAGAGGAGACAGACTAACCACAGTTGTAATAATAAGCCAGGTTGACAGAAAGATGTAGTGCGTGGAAAAAAACACCGAAAGTTGTTAATTTTTATATTGGAAACATGCTTAAATATTCATGGGGGACCCAGTTAAATCTACTGTAGAAGGAAAGCTTTCAGATATGGTTTTTTATTAACAACATTTATATTGGAGTTTGTTTTCTACAAGTCCACATTTAGAACACACTCTTTTAGATTAGTTTTAACAGATTTACTCAAAGATATTCTGTTTTGTAAGTTATTATATAGTTTTCTGTGAAATATTTTGTCAGAGTAAACTCAGGTATTTATATGACAAAAAATCAAAATCATGTAAATATAAATATTGATTCATTCAAAGGCAAATAACATGTTGCATGTCAGAATACCTGATATTATGTACAAATGTAATATTTATTCATTATTAATTAATTAAAAATAAAAATATATATATACAGGAGTCTTCTAAGTATTAAGTTGTATTATTGTATTTCTTTTAAAAAAAATATCAGTTGCAGAAATCACCAAGTATTAATAAACAATAGTATTTGAAGGAAAATAGAGAGTTGATGGTGTTAAATGAATTAATTGTACTTGCATGTACAGTACTACTATTGAGGCTGTTAACATGTGTGCGATACTACAAACCTCCACACTACACAGTCCTAAATGCAGGATTGGCTACTTTTGCTTATATCCATCAGATCCTAACCACCCTTGTATTTTGTACTCCTCCCAAATTATCATGTGTTTTGTATACCCACAAAAAGATTTCTTTATCCCTCCTCACAATCTAGCATGTATTCTTAACCCCTGTATAAAGTTCATTGACTCTGTATCTCTTTTTAGTAGCTTGTAGCTAGTTATAGAAGCTTGCACTGTACCTCCTGGTAGCCTTTGCCCCAAGTACTGCCTTTAGCACTAGTAGTATTAGCTAATGGTAATTGCCTTCTCTTATGATTAAACTTATTTTTTGACTTGGTAATGTAATGTCATTGTAGTTGTTGCATGCGGTGAATGGAAAGGAAGAAAATAAAGAGTAAAATTAAGTTGATTTTGAAGATTATCTTTATTTCAATGTGAACATTTTTTAAATAATATTGTACAATGTGTGTATTTTACATAATTTAGATCCATTTAATAATTGAATGTTTCTTAAACATTTAATACCAATAAAAATTCATTGTCCTATTTATAGATATAGATATTATTGTAAATTGAGACTATAAAAACTTTTAGTTAAACTGTCCATACTGACAAACAAGCCATAGATATTGATTGTAGAATTCTTAATTTCAAACCAATTAAAAGTATACATACTGCTACAATATCCACAGTAGAACCTAATGAAATTATTTTAAAAAATCACAGGTATATTTCAAGTATCAAACATAATTGTCATAAAGAAAGTGAATCCAGTTTGTATTTTGTATATAAAACAAATAAAGAAAAAGGTTATTATCATGAACACAACGCCAAATGAGTGCATCTAGATATTAAATGAGGCTCTTCAAGAATTTGAACATTTACCAGGTGAAGCTATTCATTGGCCAATAACAAGATGGACAATCTGGGATGTTTACATTCAAGGATAAATGAATTATAATACTGAAAATGACATAATAAGCAGCATTTATTACATATTATTTGAGTGTTACAATTGTGATCTGTGTTGTACATAGGCCTCATCTGACTTATTAAAACATCAAGGCATGTAATATGTAGCATTGCAATGTATATTGAAAATAGAAATATCTATTTTAGAAGCAATGGAAAACAAAGAAGAATTATGGTGTGCCGCTTATTTTGGAGTAGCATTTAACTAAGAGAGAAGCTTATTAGATCGTTTACAGTACCTACATTTACTCAAATTGACTTTCCGAACTAAACATTCCCATTTCAATGGTAGAGCTGGTAACATTTTACAGGGGTGGTGCCAGCGGGGGGACCAGAGTCTCACCGTCGGAGAGAGCCTCCCCCCCCCCCTCCCTTGTCAGGGAAAAAAACGACAATTCGTCGGGGAAAAAAAAATAATATGTATTTTCTACATATTAGTAGACTCTAAAATTGATTAAATAAGCCTTTGAAACCCCTAAATTGTCAAAATTTTCGGGGGATTTTCCCCTAGACCTTTTTCAATCTTTTAATAAAAGCTTGACCACGCCCACTGGGGGCATGGACCCCTGTCGGGGACCTGCGGCCCCTCCCCCGTCCCCGTTGAGCAAATCCTGGCACCACCCCTGCATTTTTCAGTAAGTCAGTACAGTATCTATTTGACATTTGTTCAGATCAACTATAGTCAGTAATAAGTTTTCAACAAAGCAAGCAAAATGTGAATCTAATCATCATGAACTAGCACTACATGGTACACTGGGCTGGTACCTTGACGACCTGGGCAAGTACTTGATGCTGTTAGCCAATACAAGGTACCCATTATACTGCACATTATGCCTTGGGCTAGTTGAATTGCCATGAATTAGTGCATTATTCCATGGGCTAGACCATAACCTGGGCTAGTACATGATACCTAAACCCACTTCACTAGTTTGCTGATTTGATTCCTGTTCCGCTTTCTTCCTCCACTGAAAATTTGGGTCACTGATAAGATGAGCAATAATTAGTAATATTATATTTATGCTAAAAAGGCCAAAGGTGACGACAAGTAGCCAGAAGGAGTACCCATAGTCTGCACTCTCTGTTACAAAATAATTTGGTGCCTTTGTGTCTACATCATTTAGAACATTAAATTGAAGAGTTTCGTAGTACAAGCCAACATATGTGAATAATGCTATGGCAGAAAATGCACCTGAAATGACAAAACAAAAAACATTTTAGATACTTCTCATTCATTAAATATCTTGTCAAATAGTACAAGATTGGTTAAATCCATTAAAATTCATGTTCATTGTTGGTGCACACATCAGTTATCCTTAATGCACAGATATATATTTATTCTGTTGGTAAAGTCACCTGAAGAACTTCCCTGTGTAATAGTAACATTATTGTCTTTTTATTGGTGACAATTCATTGTAATTTTATTGGTGACAAATGGCAATTACTCTTTGGAATATAATTTAGTAATTGAACATGTTTGTTTCATTGCATTATTCCCAGACCAACATTGAGCATGTTTGTTTTTATTTTCGTGTTTATGTTAGAGGTCTGATGATGATGATGATTATTATTATTATTTTAAAAACAACATTGAAATTAAACATTTAATGGGAAATTAGGTGTGAGTGGAAATAAACTGCTCAGTAAATTGAAATAATGCAGAAAAAGTAAAATTAAAGTGTTTCCATTTTGTTAACAGGTACGACAGAGGTGAGAAAAATACTACTGTAATTGTTTTTTGTTGTGACAGATATTAATCAAAGCTTTCCGGTTGATTACATTGCTTTTGTAATAAATATAATGATGCCTGCTGATTTTAATATGAATGTATAAATGGAAATGCAATCTACTTGAGTGGGTGAGGGGCACAAAATGGGGGAAAGTATCCAGGTAACTAAATTCAATAAAAAATAAAAAATCAAGTCATAACATTCAGGGAGCCCGATGGGCAAAAGGGTGTTTGATAGATGAATGATGTTTAAACAAGACAAGTTTGCTGTTCATAGAACCCTTTCACTATCAGGCATCGATTTATGACTACCATACAGACCTTTCTTTGTCTATGCCATTAGATATCAACACTGAATAACATAAATGTCACAAGAGACGGGGAATGTGATTGTGTTTCAGACTTCCAGAGTGTACAACCTTTGTTCAGGTAATTTGATATATGTCAGTCCTGTCAGTGAATCAAGATGATTGGCTTTGAAAAACAAGTGGAGCATAAAACAACTACTACCTGAAAGATGCGTTGGGATGGAGACTAATGGATGAGAAAGTTAATGAATGCCACTCAGAAACCGTGGCCCCCATGATA